GTAAGGGTTTAGGGTTTAGGGAACTTCGAGCTTGCCTGTAAGGGCCGCCGTGCGCAGGAGACGGTGAGGGCGGCAGGTCGCTTGGTTCACGTCGTGGGCTGAGTTCCCTGCTGGTTGACCCGCTGGCTGACCTGGTAGGCGACCTGCTGGGTTCAGCACTGTCGTCACGTGACCTGCTCGGCGATCTGCTTGGGGAGCCACTTGGTGATCGTGATCTCGACTCATGCCCTTCATCTTCCCCGGACCCCTGGTGTAGTCTGATTGACTTGCCGGCAGGCGATCCGGTTCCCGACTGGAGATGGTAATTGTCGAGATCAGGATGGGCGTCTGACGGTGACTGGGTTGGTGGTTGGTTGGGCTCGCTCCTTGATGGCATGCTTGCTTCTGCAGGCTGCTCTGGCGACTGTAATGGGGGGTCCAGCGGCGGGCTCCGCAAACTGGACGAGGCTTGCATCACGTCGTGGTGGTCCGAGAGAGCGACCCCCATGATTGCTGCATCACTTGCGTCCTGACAAGCAATGCAAAGCAGCCGCCCGACGTCACATGGAGCACAGGATAACACAGACATCAAGGCCTCACGGGCCGATGTCGCAGCGGCAGTGTCCTTGAATCACGCATGCTCGCGGCTAAGATTCAGAGATTCAGATACGCACCACTGTGTCTGGAGTCCTGGTGGTCTCTCCTTCCCCCGCACCGTATATGTTTCTTCGCTTCTGCATAGTGGTGTGCAGGGATGTCCCTTGCGAGTCTTTTTTCCAGCTTACTGTAACGCGGTCTAGGCGATGTCTACGTGAGAGAGACATCTGGTGGTTTTCACCATAGAAATGCGAGTGACAGTTGCGCTAGCGCTTGTGCCTGGGCCCTTCCTTGAGCCTGTCTTCTCGCCTCCAGGTGGCCAGAGCCCGAGCACAACGGGCCCCAGGGCTGGATACTGAGAGAAGTCAAAAGAACTCTAAACCCAGGTCTTGGCGCAAAATGCCCCCCCACCCCCTGTTCAGGGCACTCCATGATCTGCAAGCCCATCCGGAAAGAGATCTGAGATAGTGTCATCGTTCTCTACCTCCTCCTCAGCCTCGGCCGTTGCTGTGGCATTCTCAGGAGTCAGTCTCTGGTCTCCATGGGCATGCCAACCTTCGTTGGGGTCATACTTGGTGCCGTCGGAATAAGTGATGTTGCTGATGGGGCACCACGAGCCCTTGCAACTCGCACATTGCTTCTCGTTCAAGGAACAGTAGTCATCTGCTGCCGCAATGCCCGAGAGAGGATACGCACTGCCACACGGGTTGGCTTCGTCCTTGTAGGCTTTCACACACTTGGGCCCAGGACACCAAGTCCCACCACAGCCGCCGCAGCGCGTCTTCTCGGAGCACGTCTCATCCTTCGCAACGTCTGCGCAGGCGCCACACATGCCTTCTGCAGCAGATGTGTTTCCACGATAGCAGCAAAAGCCATTGGTATCTTCTGGTGGCACGTACACATTCTCTTCGCGGCCATAGCTGTCCTCTTCAACTTTAAAGTTGGATGCGTGGCCCGCGCGGCACCATTCTCCTTTGCAGCTTTTGCAAGCGTCTTTGGACGAAGCGCAGAAGCTGTCTTCGACGGCAGTGCCCTTGGGAAATGCTGTGCCGCACATATTGCCCGGATCAGCAGCACTCATCACACACTTGGTTGGACACCAGGTTCCAGCACACTCACCGAGACAAGAGACCTTTCTAGAGCACTTGCTCTTGTAGGAGGCAATCGACATTGGGTAGCAAGTTCCGCAGGTGTCTTTGCTGCTCTCCCCGCTGAAGCAGCAACTTCCACCTTCTTCCTTCTCCCTCTCATCCTGCTTCAGTGTCTCGTTGACTTTGCTGATAGTCTCCCCCTCGTCATCAGCCCCGCTGGGTTCGATGGTTTCGGATGGGTCAGGGACGTAGATTTGCACCGGGGTGTTGGCGGTGACTGGTGCTTGCGGCGCCTCTGACTCTTCTGCACTCTCTTTGCCCGTCTCTGTGGAATTGGAGCCGGAGGTCTCGACGGTCGGCACGGTCGGCACGGTCGGCACGTCCGCAGCGCTGTCGGTTGTATTGCTGTCGGAGGTGTTCACGGAGGCGTTGTGCTCAGCAACAGGACTCTCGGACTGCAAACCACGCAATTGGCGCAAAGAGAGGCTGCACTCTTCACCGTCACAGACATCGTCTGCAGGCAACGCCTCCATATCCTGTGGTTGCATTGCCAAGGCAGTGATAGCCAATGCCGCACTGACCAAGTGCCGCAGCATGGTCATGAAGTAGTTGTTATGTAAGGAAGCGCTGTTGGTTCCAGGTTACGTGACAAAAAAAGGCGGCACCCTGAGCCAAAGCGTAGAAACGTAGCCAAGCGGTTTTCGGAAGCACTGCATGATACTGCATGCAACACCGATTGACGTCAAGTACCACCTCTCTGCGATTCCCTGCTATATGCAATTTGCCTTCAGTTGCAAAACTGAAGCCGAGTGGCGGCGCCGGTTTTCGGCGCACGATACGCACGTTTAACGCCGGCTGGGGGCGGCTGCAGCAACTGCGCCCGACCTCGTGAAGACACAAGAACAAACATGCGCCATGCCCATGCAACAAGTGGCAGCTTGCACACGGTGTGGGGACCCTGATGGCAGCTGGGACATCCCATTCAACATGCTACGAGTAGCTGCGGTCCTGGCGTTCGGCTGCCAGGCTGGCCTCTATGCCAATGTCAACATGGGGCCGAAGGAAGGTCTTAGCTTGAGGTGGGTGAGGTTTCGCAAGTCGAGAGAGGTCACGAAACGGCTTAACAAACAAACTCCAATCACAACCTCACGACACAAATCGCAACTCCGGCGCTCACCTGACCAAACAAGTGAGTGTAAAACACCTCCAAAGATTGGGGAGTTTACGACCACAGGGGACCCCTAGAATAAACCCCCAAATAGCAGGATTCCCTCAAGTAGAGCAAAAAAGGGACACCAACAAGGTACCCCGAATTTCGGAAACCTCCACTTCACGTCCGCCGAGCTTCGTAAAGATGCACTCGTGGCATTTTGTGCAGCTCTCTTGGGATGTTCACCCTTCTACTAAGTCCTTATAATGGGGATTAATTACAGTACCCCAAGTGTCTAACCCATGCCCCTCCCCCCGACCCCCTCCGGCCTTCTGCTTGACACGCTGCCTCTTTGCCTGTGCTTCAGAATGCTTGGCCGGATGCGGCGTGCGGAGCACAGGGTGGTTATTGCTCCGCGCTTGCCTGCGCGATCCGCCGTCCTTGCCACCCACGAATCTGGCACTGAAGGCCTCAGACATACTGCTGTGCTGAGATCTGCAAGGTGTCCCTCCCATCATAATTAAGATATCAAGCGTCTGGCGCTGAGCGGCCTCCAACCTGCCAAGAGGGCGCTGTTTGTTCGGTGATGTTCAGTGTCGGGCTCAGCAGATCTCAGCAGCAACCCTGACGCCACTGACGCCTGTCTTGCTCTGCCGCCAGCTGGCGTCGCCTTGCATTGCGCTGTGACACCCTAGACTAGCAAAGACGTGTCTGCTGTCGACCAATTTGCGCGCTTATTTTTAAAGGGGCTGACTTTCATGCACTTACCCCATGCTCTTCTTAACCAGCTTGTGAGATGTGCGCGACTGAAGGCGAGTGATAAGACAAGGCCAACACGGATAATCTTTCCTTGGGATCCTGTGCCTGGTGACGGGTCCGGGGAAAACCGATATGCTGGCTTGACAGGTTGTTCAAGCTCAACTTGAACATAGCTGCGCAAGCTCGAAGCAGCTAAGTGTCAACTGCTGTAAACGATTTTCTGACTGTCAACGTCAGCTCTCATTGAGCACAAAATAGGATTTGCTGGCTGCCAGGGTCAGCCGCTTTCGGAGTGAACCCATGCTCAAAAATGGTGCGAGTAGATCATCTGCTCGTACGTCGGGTACGGATACAGGCCTCGGAGATCAACAGGCGAATGTTTGAATTACACGTTCGCACGATCCGACGTCCAGTGCTTCGAATGATCTCCTAAGCCCGAAGCAGAAGCATGTTTGGCACCTTCATGCCCAGGTCTAGCTAGAGATTGCGGCAAGCTGGCCGAACCCTACCCCAAAGCAATCCGATCTTGCAAGACAGCGGCTGCTCTCCATCATGGATTCTGCTTTGTCCACAGCCTGAACTGAAGGATTCTCGCAGGTGCATTTCTTGCCACACCATCTTTACTGCTGTTACCAGTGCTACTGCTGCTTTCCACAGGTAGCACATCTTTTGTGAAGGGAACCCAAAACCCTAAACCCTAATCCCCCTACCCTAAACCCTAAAAACCCTAATAACCCTAATGACCCCAATGACCCCAATAACCCTAATAACCCTAAACCCCAACCCCCAAAAAGAGCAAACAGGGCCTCTCTGAGCGAGCCCATCTGCACCTTCACCTTGTCGCAAAGGTAGGTTGCCTCCTTCTCGAGGTCACCGTGCGGCAGGGCGTCCATGGACGCTTTGAGCTTTTCAAGCCTGGTTAGGGTTTAGGGTTTGAGGTGTAGGGTTTAGGGTTTAGGGATTTGTTTTTGCCACCCTAGGTGTTAGGGTTTAGGGTTTATGGATGGTCCGGAACTTCGTGAACCAGCATGTCCAGTTCAGGGTTTAGCATCATATCTTTGTCGGGCTCTGCCGGGAGGATTCAAGATCCACCCAAAGCTCAACATGTTTCGCGTACCTTAAACCCTGGCCCTAAACGCCAAACCCAAAACCCAAACCCTAAACCCTTTCCAAGAGACTTCCCTAAACCCTAAGCCCTAAGCCCTAAGCCCAAAACCCAAAACCCTGAACCGTAAACCCTTGCATCCAGGAGTCTCGTCCACGATCGCTTCGTAGGCGGCTTTTCTCGGCTCGGAGTACTTGCTGGTCATGTTTTCGCACTTCTTGAGATCTTTGGCACAAGCCTATACTGAACTCGGAACCCTGGCAAAATCTATACATTTAACTGTTTCTTCGGGGAATTACAGTACAAAAAAAATAAAGACTATTTCCAAGTATCCCTAAGGAGCAGGAATGAAGCCGGTGTCCACCATGTTGATCATGGTCTGTGCTTCAATCGTGAGGCAAGTGATATAGTTCTCCAGCATGACCTGCCAAGCACGCTTTTGTACAGCGTGCAGCTATTCGATGGCCATCTGTGATGATAGCTAACACACAACCCGACAAAGTCGAACCTTCCAGAACGTTCTGACTGACTCAGCTCACTACTCACGAATCCTGAGCTCAGGATTTTTGAATTTTCGGAGACAGCACCTCTACTTGGGAAACCCTGAAACCCCTCCTTGGGAAACTCCCATTTGAGGCTATCGGGATCCAGTCCCGCATTCCCAGCCACCCCCCGAGGCTTTTGAGCCCCAACATGCGTTTGCGAAGACCCACCTCAAGAATTCCTAATCCCTTTTCACCCTAAAAACTATGGACTAATAGACCCCAAACCCGACATCCCTAAACCGCCTTTCCCCCCCCCCCCCCCCCCCCTAAACCCTAAACCCTGAACTGAACCTAAACCCCGAACCCTAAACCTCCCCCCCCCAAAAAAAAAAAAAAACCTCCATGCGTGCGCCTCCTGTCTGGCTTCCGTCTCCTCATTCGAGTAGATCTTCAGATCCTGGAACCTCGGGCCCAGTACAAGCGTTTAGGGTTTGGGGCTTGGAGTTTAGGGCTTAGGAATTTTCACCCTAGTCGAATGGTCAGGACATCGTCGTGACTTCAAGCCACAGTATCTTATTCAAGTAATGGTTTAGGTTTTTACCGCCACCCGCATAGCTGAACTGTGACGTCCGAGGTTTATACTTCTAACCCTTTTGCCTAAACCCTAGGAGATAGGCATCGAGCTTCATCTTGCCTTTCTGCCCTACTTTTGACTGGGGTTCAGGCTTTGTAGGATTAGGAAGTGCGGGATTCAGGTGGGCTGAGGAAGTTATGGAACAGTTGGGTTTGGGGTTTTTGGGGTTTGGGGTTTAGGGTTCCTCCTGCACATTACAAAGATGATGGCAAAGGTTGACAAAGGTTGAGGCTTGAGGGTGGAAACTCCCCAGTGCCCGAAACCTGTTCCACTCTAAGCCTAAAACCCTCAACCCTGAACCCTAAACCCTACACCCAAAACCCTAACCACAAACCCAAAACCTGACGACATCCCCCCCAAGTTTTGCCGCAAGAAACAGCTTCTTGTTCTTCTCGGAGCTCCAGGTCACGACGGCCTTGCGCAAACCAGTTGACAGGATCCAGGGTTTAGGGTTTAGGGCCCCAGATGGCGCCCAAGATATTTCCTTACCACCCGTCTAGCCCAGATAGGGTTTAAGATCTAGGGATCAGCATGTAGGATGGCCCTTAAAAATATTCCTGAATATGGTCCTCTTAAACCCAACAAAAGAAAGCATAAAATGTCCCAAGGGCCTACCGAGGCATGATTCTACCCGATGTCCTGAACCCTAAACCCTAAACCCTAAATCCTAAACCCTAAACCCGATGTCCAGCTAACAAGGCCCCGGCTAGACCATCTTTGCTAACCTTCCGCATCACTGGAGACTGGAGCCCCTCTTCCACCCAAACTGCCCTCCAAAGAGTCTTTGGATTGGGGTTTAGGGTTTAGGGTTTAGGGTTTAGGGCTTAGGGTTTTCGGGTTTGGGATTTAGGGTTTAGGGTTTAGGGTTTAGGTGTTGAGTTGAGAGGAGGAGTCCTCAGCAGACGGTCAGACCACTTATAGCGGACACGGGGCCTTCGGCGTGGTGTTGAGATTTGGCAAGCCTGCCGCGCTCCACACTTAAAACGAAAGCCTAATTCACCACGTGGGTAGTTCTCTAAATTACGCTCCCTTCTGGGGTCCTTACTTTAAAGGTGCCGTGCTACATACAGGGTACCCCCCGAAAAGGGACCCCAATTTAGAGAACTACCCACATGTCACTCACCTAAAAGACGGCAGAACGGCACAGCTTCTGCCCTAAACCCTAAACCCTAAACCCTAAACCCTCAACCCTGAATCCTAAACCCGGACCTCTCTTGGCAGCTTCCTCCTTCCACTCGGGGGAGTAGCCGTTCCCGGTGAAGATGACGTGCTTGTTCTCCTGTGCTCCACTGTTTAAGGTTTTAGGGTTTAGGGTTTAGGGTTTAGGGACCCTAGATAGCTTATAGGGTTCTTGAGGGAGCACGAACTTCGAGGTCGAGCGCCCATCTCGATGTGCGGCGTGCCGGGGGGTTCAAGGGGCGTATGTAAGTACTCCCCACTACTCCGAAAGCTTCCCTAAGCTTCCTCCAGGTACCTACCCCCCATGTACCGCCCTCCCCCCCCCCCCCCCCCCCCACACCCCAAGCACCCTGTAATACCCAGACCCCTGGCAGGATCCAAAAAGTAGATCCCCTTCAGGCCTTCAGGGTTCCTAAACATGACCCCCCAGTAGCTTTAGGGTACTGTTTGGGGGTTCTCTTGTTTGACTCCAGTCACTTCAGTCCTTGAACATTTTTGCCACAGCATCTCTGTGGCTCATGCCACCCTCAATCAGGCCGGCGAGGTTACCCATGCCAGCTGCCATGATGGCATTGCAGACCATGACGGGCAAACCTCAAAGCAAAACATCTGATTAGTGGTTTCGGAACCCTGGATTTGTTCCCCCCCCCCCCCCCCCACGGTCAGGTGATCCCGAATCCTGTGCTTCAAGAGGAATGTGATCAGAGATCGGCCTGCCAGGAGGTACATATCTCCCAACGTTGGCGTGCAACATCCCACAGCTTACTTGCCAAGTGGCCACTTAAGTACAAAGCTTCTGAGTACCACTAGGAGCGCCTGTCACACAAGCTCGGGGAGTAGGTCGTGGGTCTTGGGTGATTTCTAGGCTCACGTCGAGAGTTTGGGGTTTGGAAGTGGAAGTTGAGATGCTCAGGGCTCGGATGTGATAGTGGCTGGCCCGCATGCTTGTTTCACGCGCGATTTCCATAGAGAACGCTGTTTCTGAAGGAGGCTTGTGTAGGGCTGAGGGTGCCCTCAACCCTACACCCTACACCCTACGCCCTAAGCCCTAAACCCTAAACCCTGAACCCTAAACCCTAAACCCTAAACCCTAAACCCCGCCGGGGGACAGCAGTTCTGGGAGGAGCCCACGGCCCGGAACTCAAAGCGGTTGCCGCAGAAGGGAAAGGGCGCTGTGCGGTTCCTGTCCTCCAAACGTGTTCCCCCAACAAAAATGGGGGGTTTAGGGTTTAGGGTTTAGGGTTTAGGGTTTAGGATTTAGGGTTTAGGGTTTAGGGCTACCAAGGATTTAGCACGGATGCAAGCCGCACAGAACCGATACGCCTCCACGTTGGCCTCAATGAACATTGCCTGAGAGCATCCCGTCGGCTGATGCTTCCTGAGGACACCGCTGAAAAAAAGGTACCCTAAACCCTCAACCCTACACCCTACACCCTAAACCCAAGCAGGACAACACCAAGACCAAGACCTGCAATCTTGCGGAGGCTGCTGTGCAGTTTCCACATGAACACATCGTGCATCCGCGCCGCTTCTCGGCTTTGTAGCCTAGAAGGTCTGCGCCGCCGATGATCGCGTCCACAAACTGTTCGAAGCCTTGTCCGGGATACAGCCTTGGAGCAGGCACTTGGAGGTTCAGGGTACTTAGTTACCCAGGGATAAGTGTAGCTATAACCCACGTATAATAAGCCCCTTAAGTACCCTAGGGGGGTTATACTTGGGTTTCAAGTACCCTAAGCCCTAAACCCCTAACCCGGAACCCTAAACCCCTAAGTACCCTGAATACCCTGAACCTCCAAGCAGGCACTGGGGACCCAAGATCTCCAAACCCCATGCACCATGAAATCGCCACCACGTGGCGAGATGATAGCGGGCGGTGCTTCCTGCAACTGAAGAGAGAAAGTAGACTTGGGGTTTAGGGTATAGGGCCAGGGTTTAGGGTATGACCGGTCTAGGATGCCTTCTGGGTTTCGGCTGCTTGGAGTGGCAGTGCAGTGTAGTCGGCCAGTCGGCGAAAGCATGCGAAAGCACGCGTGGATATCATGGTCTTGACGATTGCCACTCTCAGAGCTAGAGTAACATTTGGGCGATTCTCCTTCTTTTGGGAGAACCGACTCATATAGTTCCAGGGTTTAGGGTTTAGGGTGAGTGGGAATCCTAAATTAAAAGGGGACCATCATATGGAGGATTCCGTCTGCGTAACACCATGCAGACGGCCTTGATATGAGCATGGGATGTGTTGAGGGGTTCAGATTCCTCGCCTTGACATGACAATCAGTCAGGCCTTGGGGGTTAGGGGCTTTTTTTTTCCCACCCGTTTCGCAAGCGTATACGGGCTTTTAGGGTTTAGGGTTTGGGGTTTTAGGGTTTTTTTTTTAAGGGTTTCCGGCCGCCTGGGCGCCCAACCGGTGATCGTTGCCTGCTGTTGCCACGGTGCAGCGGACGAGCTCCTCAGGACGTCAGGCACCCCAATACCCTTCTATATGATGCATCAGAATACTGTACAGTATTTTGTGCTCTTGCTATAACACAACGTATGCTTGTTTAATAGTATGACGATACAACCTGGAACGCGATCGCAGCATTCCTCGGAAGAATACTCTAGGCACCCTCTTGCGTCCAGGGCACATTGTATTGAGACAAGCCATATGCCAAGCAGGCGATGCCAGTCACGAAGAGCTTCCTGCCTTCATCTGTCTTGCCGGGATAGAAGAAGTTGAGGCCAGTATCGGTTCCGATGGACCAGTTGGCATGCTTGCCACTGCCATTGATGCCTGCAAAGGGCTTCTCATGGAAGAGCACCTGCAAGCCGAGCTTCTCGGCCTCGCGGTTCATGGTCTCCATGAAGAAGACGTTGCTGTCGCAGGACACGTTGGCCACCCGGAAGACCGGAGACATCTCATGCTGGCCAGGAGCGACTTCGTTGTGTTTGACGGCCATGGGGCATCCTACTACTAGCATGGCAGCCTGAACCCTGTCCAGCAAGGTCTGTACACTTGTCGGGATCGCTTGGAAGTAGTTCAGGTCGCCCTGCTGGTGCCGAGTGGGCAACTTGCCGAACAAGGTTCGGCCGGTGTTGACGAGGTCCGGGCGCGCCTTGTAGAGGGCTGCGTCCATCACGAAGAACTCCTGCTCCCATCCCAGGAAGCTATAAATCGTCTGGGCGCTCTTGCCGAGGTCAACAGCCTTCAGCAGTCGAAGACCTTGAGTCTTCACGGCGTCCATAGATCGCAAGAGAGGTGTCTTCTCATCAATGCATTTCCCGAAGTGCGTGATGAACGCACAGGGTATATACAACGTCTTGTTGAGGACAAAGGGCGGCGATGCCCTGTCCCAGGTGGTGAACGCTGCTGCAGAGTGTGTCACTCGAAGGCCACCGTTGGGGAAAGAAGAGCCGTCGGTCTCTCCCTGGAAAAGTCGCTCTGCTGGCAAGCAGGCCTGTGTCAACAGGGGAAGTGTGGATTCGTGCAAGAGCTTGTGACAAGACAAGAAGCTTCTCAAGCAATTGCACGCCGAACCCGATTTCCGGAGACCCCTGGTGCTTGCTGACCAGAGATGCGCCCGACGCAAAATCCGAAATTGCAGCTCATGTTGGCACCTTCATGGGCTTCGTGACAAACTTGGATGAGAAGTCAAGGTCCAAGAGGGTGTCCTGGCTATGGTACTTGCAGGACATGCATTCGGAGATCATCAGCCTTTTTGGAAAGATTTTCTGATGAAGCCAGTGAGACACGGGTTTCCTGCAATGTGTCATCTCGCCTTTGACAAAACTGTAGAACTCTGTTGCATGCTCAGGCTGGCACCTGCTTGAAAGCACCCAGCATACCGCCGACAGCGCCGCCCTGTCCGCGCAGGGGGAAGAACCAGTGGGCGAAGTCCACGGCGCCGCGTTCTCGCGCCTTGGAAGTCGGTCAGGGATCTTGGAAGACGGGTCTCAGCTTGCGTCAGAGAACTGAGAATTTGTTCATGTAAGCGAAGCCATCAGAAACATGACGGTATTAGGACATGTGATCCGTAACAGTGCTTGTCGCTCGCTGGCCAAGCACGACCTCGAAAACTTGCACCGTGCAGCGCTGATTTAGCTGTTCCTTGTTCTGAAAGCTTTTTGAAGCTAGACGACTGTGGCAAAATGACAGGACTACAGCTCAGCAGCTTTTCTCTGAACGAAGAATTCGAGCAGCTTCCTTCGTTGAAGGGTTTGGTGAGAGTAATTACCGAGGACTGGCGTTGTTGGCAGCTGGCAATCCCAATCGCTCAATATGGTGATGCAAAATCAGCCCTATGTGTTGATGTCATCAAGAAGGCAAGCGACCCATTCAAACATCGTATCGGCAATGATCTTCTGATCCTCTTCGGTCGTGGGCGCGCCGCTGATGAGGCACTCCTGGTGGTGAAGAGGGAAATCGGAGCCCAAGAATCTTCAGCTTGTGCCTCAACCCCTGGAGATCCTTAATGTTCATTCTCGTTTAGGGTTTAGGGTTTAGAACAACTGCATCGATCGGATTTGGGCCAAAATTGTACTTGTAGAGCCTAACATCCTCCTTTGAGCCCGATCACACTTGAAAAAGTGGGTGCCAGTAGAGAAAACTATGTCGCAGACTTAGCCCAAAACATGTGCAGAGATTTTGCTGCGTGCTCTTTCATTCCAACCGAGCAGGGACGGAGAGTTGAGAATCAAGTTGAGAAATTCTTAACATCAGCAAGCCTGGCTCAGGCTGTTGCCTATGTCTCTGGCCTTCCTTCTTCAGGCTAAGACCAAACTTACGACTCAGACTTCCTTCCAACCAAATCCGGACAGGCTATCCCTCACGAGGCATCCCGCTCGCATTCATGCTAATTCCTAAGCTGCCGAGGTGGCGTGGCTGAACTGCTGCCCCTCCCTCGTTGCTAAATCAGAAGGCCTCCGTGTTTTCTAAGCCCTAAACCCCAAACCCCAAACCCTAAACCCTAAACCCGAAACCCTGAGCTTGGCTCGACGAATCTTGCCGAGGCGTTGTCCTGGAATCGCTTGACGACTGCGGCCGGTAGCTTCTCTGCCATTACCTCTGCCGGGGCTTCATGAGGCATGTTTAGGTTTAGGGTTTAGGGTTTAGGGTTTAGGGTTTAGGGTTTAGGGTTTAGGGTTTAGGGTTTAGGGTTTAGGGTTTAGGGTTTAGGGTTTAGGGTTTAGGGTTTAGGGTTTAGGGTTTAGGAAAACGCAAACGAAGCCCATGAATTAGATCCACCTCCCCCCATGTACGAGCAGGGTTCAGTGTTTAGGGTTGGGGTTTCATAGGTGGCCGTCATTCAGGGTTTAGGGTTTAGGGTTTAGGGATTCAGCTCAATGAGGCCATTTTGTCCGTCACCTCTTGACAACGGGCTTTTGGTAACCCTAAACCCTAGGCCCTAAACGGCCTGCATCCCTAAACCCCATGAGCCCTAGACAGCCTTCATGCTGCAAAGGAGCCTTGTCGTCAAACATATTCTTTCCCATGACCTCCAACGGATCTACCGCAGCCGCCGATCCGGTCACGGAGGCGACGGCCTCTTGTAGGACTCTTAAGGGAGGTTCAAGGGGTTTAGGGTTTAGGGTTTAGGGTTGAGGGTTGAGGGTTGAGGGTTTAGGGTTTAGGGTTTAGGGGGGGGGGGGGGGGGGTGTGGCTGAGCAAAATAGGGTCTATTTAGAAGCTACCGCCTGGGATTATTAATCAATTTTAGCATATCCAAGACAACCCAGCTACTTCTCCAACAACGTCTCACGCATATGCGCACTTAGACAACTCATTTCGGACTGATAAATGTTTTGGCTCTTGCAATCTCAGACCCTAAGCCCGGAACCCTGACCACAAATTCGTACACTCTAAAACCCTACACAAGAAACTCTATACCGTATTTCCTAAACTCTAACTCCTAAACCCAGAATCTAGAAAGAAAAGGAGGAAAAAGAAAGAATCATGTGCAGACGTTCCTGTGTTCCTATCTTCGGAGTTCTTCTATTCCTATCTCTGCTGATTTTTCAGAATGGAAGGAGGGCTTCATTTTCCCTCTCACTTTTCCTTTCACTTTTCTTTTCTCACTCCAAGCAGAAGGGAGAAGACAAGGGAGAGAGGTGAGAGATAGAGAGCCCCTTACAGCTCAATAAATAGAAAGGTGACCAAAATGGATGAAAAGATCGCCTGCTTTCATTTCTAAACGGCCTGTCCCCGCCTTCTTTTCTTTGCACAGTGCAGACATAAATAAACACGAAAGAAGAAAGAGGGCCTTTCCCTACTATTTCCTTCGCTATCCTGGAATCCTGGTTCGGAAAAGAAAGGAACAGCTACCAGCCCCCCTCCCGACTTTCATCTTTCCATTTCTTTTGTTTCGTCACGCTCAAACGGACAGAAGAAGGGCGGCCTCTAGTGTTTCCTCGCCTCCTTCTGCACTGTTATAACTTCCTTTCTTTTCTCTTCTGTTGCTTTGTGTGACAGGTGCGGGGGCATTTCTTTCACTTTTCCCATCGAAGAAAGGCTCCCTTCCTATCCGCATATTTTCTTTTCTCTTCCTTCCGAAAAAGACTATAAGAGGCAGGGATAAACAGAATGAAAGAGGAGTCTCCTTTTGCTTTCCGACTACCTTCTCACCACAAAAAGGAACCCTTCTCTTTCTTCCCTTGACTTTCTTTTATCTTGTTTGCATTCTACGTTTCCCACTAAGAAAATGAGACAATGATGAAGATAAGTGAAGAAAGATCACCTGCCTGCACGCAGGTTCTCGGGAGCTTGTCTCGACCGGGCTGTCCCTCCTTTCCCCGCACGTCCCTTCGCTTGTCCCCATTGATCTCTCGCGTCTCTTCCCTTTGCACTCTCTCGCCTCTGGCCCGCCTTCCATGCTGAAAATGCTGAAGAGATACGAAAAGAAGAGCTCATGATTCTTTCTCATTTCTTCTTCTTTATCATTCCCATATGAGTAAAGAAGAAAGATTAGGAGAGAGAGCCCTGCGGCAATTCCTGTTTTGGGCGGAAGAAAAGAAACAAAGAGATAATAAGAGAGAAGAACGAATAAGAAGGTGCCGGGAACGAAGATGGAAACTGCTCCTTCACCCTGGTCTATCGCTTCCTTTTCGAATTTTTTCGGAAGGAAGATCGAAGAAGATAGTGGGAAAAAAGGAGTGAAGTGCCCGTAGAAGGGAGAAAGTGAAAGGGATGCCCCCGCAACTTTCATATTTTGATAAGAATGCAAGCGCCAGCAGAGAAGAAAGGAAGAGAGAATAACGAGGAAAGAGCGGAAACCGAGGAGATTAGGAGCCAGGTTTCCCTGATTGATTCTCGTCACTTTTCTCTGTTTTGGGAAGGTAAAGGGCTTTATATCTCCCACCTCTCTCCCTTGTCTTTTTGGTTGGAGTGAGAAAATATAAAGAAAAGCGAAAGGAAAAGTGAGAGGGAGAAAGAAGCCCTCCTTCCATTCTGAAAAATCTACAGATTTAGAGACAGGAATAGGGGACAATATGGAAATGATTCTTTCTTATTTCTTCACGTTGTCTCCTTTCCCTATATGACTCCCTTGCGATTTCCCTTTTGGTTGGAGTGAGAAGAGACAAAAGAAAAGTGAAAGGAAAAGTGAGAAGGAGAAAGGACGCAGAGATAGGAATAGAAAAACTCAGAAGAGACACAGTCTCAGACAAGATAATTTGCTGACTTGTGATTGCGTGGCTGCCTTGGCAAGAGTTGTTGCTGGAATGGCTTTTGGGAAGAAAGTCGGAGGTGCACTTTTCGATCCAGGCGTGTTTCGCGAGCCGCAGCTTCTGGCCTCCTCTTGCTTGGGCGTGGCCAAGCGCCAGGGAGCAGAAATGCTGCGTTTTTCAAGTTTCAAATTCGTTTCTGTAGTTTCAGACTAGTTGCAAAATAGTTTCAAAATCCAGTTGCAAAATCGTTGTTAAGGGGAAACTGCGTTTTTCTACGCGCAATTGCAAAACATGCAGAAGTTCTGGTTTTCAACAAGCGCGGACAGAAATTGCAGCTCCTCCTTAACAGCGATATTTCAACTGGATTTTGAAACTAGTTTGAAACTGACTTGAGACTAATTTGAAACTATGGAAACGATTTTGAAACTCGAAACACTACCATATTCCGGACTTTCTGCCCCCCTCCTGGCCCCTCACATATGGCCCTCACGCACGGGAAGTTGACTTTGGTCAGGCGTGACTAGAGACCAGAGCTTCCGAAAGCTTGCCAATCTCCGGACAGTAGGAATAGAGGAATGTGTGGAAATGATTCTTTCCTAGTTCTTCATCTTCTTTCTCCTTTCCCTATGTATGAGAAAAGAAGACAGACAAGGAGAGAGCCCCCTGCAATTAGGAATTTCCCCAGAAGAGAAAGCGAAAGGGATGCCCCCGCAACTTTCACGTTTTTGAGAAGAATGTAAGCACCAAAAGAGAAGAGAAAGGAAAAGAGAATAGCGAGGAAAGAGGCAAGGAAACACAGGAGGCAGCCCCTCCGCTTGCTTCTTGAATGAAAAAGACATCGGAGAAATGGAAACATGAAATTGAGAGGGAAGTTGCGCTTTTCCTTGCTGAAGAACAAAGCAATTCCAAAGAACATGGAAAGCACAAGGAATGTACTGGGAAAGGTAGGGAAAGGGATTCTTCCCTCTGACTTTTTTGCTTTCCTTCAATCTGCGATGTAAAGGGAAAAGATGCAGCGGACAGGTCTGAAAATACAGGCAGGTGATCTTTTTTCCTTATTGTCATCATTGTCTCTTTTTCTCAGTGGGAAACGTCTCATTTTCTCAGCGGGAAACGTAAAGTGCAAAAAGATAAAAGAAAGAAAGTAGGGAAGAGTTGGAAGGTTCCTTTTTGTGGTGAGAAGGTAGTCGGAAAGCAACAGGAGACTCCTCTTTCATTCTGTTTATCCCTACCTCTTATAGTCTTTTTGGGAAGCAAGAGGGAAGAACATACGCGGATAGGAAGGCAGCCTTTCTTTGATGGGGAAAAGGAAAGGGATGCACTGCCCCCTCAATTTTCATGTTGATAAGAATGTAAGCACCAGGAGAGAAGAAAGGAAGAGAGAATAGCGAGGAAAGAGGCAAGGAAACACATGAGATTAGGAGTCAGGTTCCGGTGATTGATGTTCGTCTCTTGTCTTCTTTTTGAGAAGGTCGCTTTTGGTTGGAGGAAGAAGTCCGCCTTCCATTTTGAAGAATCTGCAGAGATAGGAATTGAAGAAATCACAAGAGACACGGATAGAGGACATTATAGACATGATTCTTTCTTATTCATTCATCTTCTTTCTTCTTTCCCTATATGAACACAGAACAAAGACAAGGAGAGAGAGCCTCCTGCAATTGGGAATTTCCCCAGAAGAGACAAAGTGAAAGGGATGTCCCCCGCACCTTTCACACTTTTGAGAAGAATGTAAGCAACAGAAGAGAAGAGAAAGGAACTCATAATAGTGAGCAGGGAGGCGAGGAAAGACTGGAGGCAGACCTTCTTTCCGGTTGAGCAGGACGAAACAAGAGAATGTAAGATGTAAGTCGGGAGGGAGGCTGGTAGCCGTTCCTTTCTTTTCCGAACCAAAGACAAAGAGGAAGGAAGGCAGGATAGGTTTCCGTGATTGATTTTCGTCACCTCTCTATGTTTTGAGAAGGTAAAGGGCGTTCTATCTCTCACCCCTCTCCCTTGTCTTCTTGGTTGGAGTGAGAAAATATAAAAAAAGCGAAAGGAAAAGTGAGAGGGAGAAAGAAGCCCTCCTTCCATTCTGAAAAATCTGCAGATTTAGAGACAGGAATAGGGGACAATATGGAAATGATTCTTTCTTATTTCTTCACGTTGTCTCCTTTCCCTATATGACTCCCTTGCGATTTCCCTTTTGGTTGGAGTGAGAAGAGACAAAAGAAAAGTGAAAGGACAAGTGAGAAGAAGAAAGGATGCAGAGAAAGGAATAGAACAACTCAGAAGAGACACAGTCTCAGACAAGATAATTTACTGACTTGTGATTGCGTGGCTGCCTTGGCAAGAGTTGTTGCTGGTTTCGCGAGCCGCGGCTTCTAGCCTCCTCTTGCTTGGGCGTGGCCAAGCGCCAGGGAGCAGAAATGCTGCGTTCTTCAAGTTTCAAATTCGTTTCTGTAGTTTCAGACTAGTTGCAAAACAGTTTCAAAATCCAGTTGCGAATTCGTTGTTAAGGGGAAACTGCGTTTTTCTACGCGCAATTGCAAAAAATGCAGGAATCTCTAGAGGTTCTGGTTTTCAACAAGCGCGGACAGAAATTGCAGCTCCTCCTTAACAGCGATATTTCAACTGGATTTTGAAACTAGTTTGAAACTGACTTGAGACTAATTTGAAACTATGGAAACGATTTTGAAACTCGAAACACTACCATATTCCGGACTTTCTGCCCCCCTCCTGGCCCCTCACATATGGCCCTCACGCACGGGAAGTTGACTTTGGTCAGGCGTGACTAGAGACCAGAGCTTCCGAAAGCTTGCCAATCTCCGGACAGTAGGAATAGAGGAATGTGTGGAAATGATTCTTTCCTAGTTCTTCATCTTCTTTCTCCTTTCCCTATGTAT